TAAATTTTATTAGCTTATTGAAGATTTTGTCATCCCTCTTGACAGCAGGAATTTGCTGGAACGGATAATCCCTTTTTTAAAATTAAATTTAAATGAGGAAATTGATCGGCGTAAAAACAAATGGGTATGAAATGGTCACGGAACGGAAAATTGAAAAAGCCGAGGTTCCACTGTAATGCATTGGGTGATTTTGCCCATTTTAAGTTCAATTTTAACCCAATTTCCAAAGTCGTTTGCCCAAATTCTTACCCCCCCCATTTTCTAATTTTCCTTCTGTTCCATCAGTTGAACACAAGAACCACTATTCATTATCACAAAACTTTGAAATTCTTTAAATTTTTTACAGAAAAAATTCAGTATAAAAAATTTTAAGCAGATGAAAATAAACACCGTAGACTTTGCAGGTACTAAAGTATCACTTCCTTGTTCATTACCCTTTTCAGGGTCGACAGGCCCTTTCCCCCCCAGTTGTTCTCAGGGTCGAAAAAATTAAAAAAAAAAAAAAACTTTTTTTTATAAAAAAGATAGAGAATCTTTTCCCGATCATAATGACACCAAGAGTATGAAATTTGATGGGAAACTTCGGATTATACTTTGCGAATTAGAAGCCTCGACAATGTTTAGCATCGGATTTTGCCCACTTTGACCCCTTTTTTTGACCAATTACAGTTTTCTTTGTCGACAAAAAATCAAAAATATTTTGCTAGAACCCCTTTTTCTCTTGAATGAGTACAAGAAACCCCCCTTTTTCCCGATTTCAATATCCAAAAAAGTGGTCAAAATTTTTAGCAATTTTGAAATTTCACACAAATTTTAAAAGATGCCAATTTCCCAAATAGGGTCCAGGATAAACAAGAAAGACATTTTGGCCTAAAAAAAACATTTCCCCGTTCTTGTCAGTCCCCACGCCCTCTTACATTTTTGTTTCCCCTTTTATTTTTTTTCTTTCAAAAAAAAGAAGATTTACTGTCATGGAGACTACTGCATTAGTGTAGAAAAAGGTTTTTAAATAAATCGCTCACTTGTGAAAGAATATTAGACTCGCCACCTTGACGGTGTCTATCGGATGCCTAGCATGCTTTGTTTAATTTTGAACTTTGGAAAAATCGTATCCAATTTCTGTAATGAGACAGGGATAAACTAGAATACCTCATATAATACATACGAAAATACAGTTGCTAAGTCACTGTTTTAACCAAAAACTGTCAGTTTTTTTTATCATTACGCACTGTGTGCTGCTTGATTTTTTTTTATACTGTGAACACTGACCAACATAGACCCATTATTTATATGTAGGCCTACAGCTTTCTCTCAATTAGATTTGTGGGCGCTTGAATTTAAGGTACTAGTATGACAAAAACCCTGGTGCGTAAGCCATTCTAGTGACGTCAGAAACCCTGGCTATTATTTACACTTCGCCTTTTTTTATTTGAATTAATTATCACACAAAAATTGACGAGTTTCCTTATTTCTCGGAATAATAAAATATAACCAAGATGATGATTAGTCATGGTTTATGAATTTCCAATAATTTGTAGTGGGGGAAGGGAGTGAGAGCACTTATCCATCCTCAATCGATAATCTGATGGTCAAATATTTCTTGCTACATTAAGCCCAATTTCAAGCTAATTTACCTCCTGAAACCAACAAATTTCATCTCTTTTCAATAGTTAGGTTTTTCATTCTAGAAATGATACCAAGAAACAACAGTAAACCATAAAACATCCTTGAACTTACTCCGCATATTAATTATTTTCAACCAAACACAAAAGGTCTGAGGTTTTTTCTTCGCCCTTATGCACAGCTTGGGATATAATTTCTCTTACACTGTTCACACACTTACGGGGCTGGACCCATTGCTCTTGTCTAGGCAATAATTTACCACATTCAGCTTTATGAGGGAGCTGAGCCTAATATGTTGATCAACCAGACAAGAAAATTGCGTTAATTTAAAAGTGGTTGCTTTTAAAAAGAGAATTATTGTCTGAAATGGTAGAGAATCATTTTATGAGGTAATGTCTACTGAAAATCAAAATTGATGTGAAAACTAAAGAATTAAGCAAGTGCAAGTTGGCCTCAGCGGCACAATTTACACAGTGCCATTTTGCTAAACTAGTCATTTTGCTGATTTTGAGCACAAGAAACTTCCCATTCAACTATCAGAACTACTACATATTGGTGCACAGAAGTTTGTTATTTAGCCAATTTTTTTACACTATTATTTTTTTTTATTAACACACGATCCCATTTCCCACCAAGGCAGGGTGGCCAAAAAACAAAAACTTTCACCATCATTCACTCAAAGTCACTGTTCTTTCCTGAGGCATTTGATTACACTACAGTTATATAATATGCAGCTGTAACACCCCTCCTTCAGATTGCAGGCACTGTAATTAATTTCTTCAGGACTCAAAGTCCGCGGATCACCTGCTGGTTTCCCTGAATAACATTACGCCCCTGCTCTCCTATCAGCATGTCAAGCTCTTCACGTACTACCTATCTAACATGCTCACACATGCTTGATTGAGGTACCAAGCCCCTTGTACTACAAAACCTCCTTTTACCCCCCTCCCCCCAACCTCTTTCCTTGGCCGACCTCTACCCCGCCTTTCCTCCACTACCAGATTATACAGTTCTCGAAGTCTTTCTATTTTGTTCCATCCTCCTCTACATGTCTGAACCACCTCATCATCACCTACTCGCCTCTAGAGAATTGTTTTGTGTTATATCCCGCACATCCTGCTAATTTCTCTAAACTACGAATTTTTCCATTATATTCACATCACACATGCTCTCATGACATTGATATCTACACTGCATCCAGCCGTTCTCCTTGTTGCAATGTTTCAAAACCCATTTGTCTGCTTCACACCCCATATAAGAGTTGGTATAACTTTACTCTCATTACATTCCCATACTGCTTCCATGGAGAAGAAAGTTCTTTGTCTCCACTGACTACTCAGTTACCTACCACTAATTTTTTTTTTCCCTTTCTAGTCTCTATGATTCACTTCATCTTTCATTGACCCATCTGTCTGACAATGTCAAATCCCATAATTTCTTGAAATCATTCGCTTCTTAATACCCTCCTTTCCAATGAGATTTCCAATTTTTCTCTATCTAAATTGTTTGATACCTTCATCACCAGTACTCTTAATCTATGTTCACTTTCAAACTATTAACCCTTTCACTGTCGGTGTCGTATTATAATAGGCTCTTTTACTAGGCGTGTTGGTGCCATACTAGTACATCAAAATTCTAGGGGCTTAATAATATAGTGGCGAAGAATGCTGATAGACCCTACGTGTGAGACATGGGTCTGCTATGGTCAGTGTGTGAAGCATAAAAAAACTTCTCTAGCATGCAGTGCATAATGAGAATAAACTTAGACCGTGCATATTGGTTTGAATTGCCTACCGACTTTATGGTGTATTTTTGTATGGTTATTTATGGTTGCATTCTCTATTTTCTTGGGTATTATTTGATAGAATGGAAGATATGTTACATGAAATAGAGATGATTTGATTGGTTTCATGATTGAATAAGTACCTTGTATTAAGCTCAATGTATCGGAATACCATGTTCGTTTTTTGCGACTGATTCCAAGAGTAAATAAATGTCGCCACTGTCCTTATGTCCAGCTGGCAGGTCTTATACGCAGTCATGACTGGGTTTTCAATTCAATTCAATTCAGTTCGTTTTTCTCGATAAGGAGTTACAATGTGGGGTTTTACAGGTTTTGGGTATTGTGTGGTTTACTTGTTATAAAATACTAATTACAGAGGGGGCCACTAGGACACCCAAGACATGGCTAGAGCATTTCGTGCAGTCTTAGTTTTATTGTAACTTTAATTCCTTACTGATGTATGGTATTAAGGCTAAGTGTCTTCATCATATTTTTGTGTGTTTAGCAATTGTGTGAATTGCTTTTGTTTTGGCAAATACAAAGTCTTTGTTTATTGGAGTATTAAAGGCAATACTTATACTAGTTAGGATTTATTATTTTAAGCTAAGATTAGTATTTCTGGCGCATATAGTCAGTTGGTGAGTGAAGTGTATTGTGAACCACCAGTAGTAAGTGTGGATGTTCTGACATTATTTAAACAGTTATTACAATAATGCAGTAGTCTGCATAATAGTAAATCTTCTGTTTTTTGTGTCAATAAAAATTCAAAATGGAAAGCAAGATTAATGTAAGAGGGGCCTGGAGATGTGACTAATGAACAGAGAAAATGTTTTTTAGTGCCAGGAATGTCTGCATTGTTTATTCTGGACCCTATTTTGAAATTGACATCTTTTGAGATTTGTGCAAAATTGGCCAAATTGCCAATTTCTGACAACTTTATTGGGTAGTTGAAATCGGTAAATGGGCGGTTTCTTGCACTCAGTTGATAGAACACTTGGAGTTCTATAGAACACTTGGAGTTCACTATTTTGGCCAAAAATAGTGCTCAAAGTGGGCGAAATCACCGATGCGTAAATATCGTTGAGACTGCTAACTTTGCGAGAGTGTAATTCCGTAAGTTTTCCATCAAATTTCTTGCTTTTGGTGTCATTACCACCCACTTTAAAGTTTAACTCCTATACCACTATTATTAATACGAATGTTTGAAACTTCCCATTTTGAAACCCTAAAGAGATCACTGATTGACCTACTTTTTTTTTAATCTCATTCTGTTTTCTGTTTTGATGTTAAACAGTAATATTTTCTTTTATATATTTTCCAGGACTTACCAGCTCATCAGCATCCGGTTATAGTGTTGCGTGATACAAGTTTTTTAGAATTAAAATCCCTATTGAGCTTCATATACCATGGAGAAGTTAATGTATCTCAAGAAAGATTAGGGCTCCTTCTCAAAACAGCAGAGGCACTTAGAATTAAAGGACTTGCTCAAGACAAGAGAACTAGTGATAATGAACAGGTAAGTGCTTCCTTAGACAGTGGAACCTTGGTTTTCGTATGCCATAGTCTGTAAAACTATAGTTACTCTTTATAAAATGTATTTTTTGTTAATATTTCCCATAAGAAATAATGTAAATCCAATTAATCCGTTCCAGACACACAAAAATATTAACAAAAAATACATTTTATAGAGAATAACTATAGTAGTTTTACATACAGACTAGGGCATATTAAAACTGAGGTTCCATTGTATTGTCATGATACTTATATCTCTTCGTTTGTCTCTAACTTTTCATAAGTTGTATATGGTAGCTCAGCAGATATGCAGTTGTTTTGGTCAAATTTCTTACAAATCCAAATGATCCATTTTTTGCCTAAATGGTACAACAATTTAGTTCTCTCAAAAATTTGGTGTGACCTTTGTTTTGTGACTTGGAATGAAATATGGATGTGGTTGGAATGCAATTAACCCTTTCACTGTCAGTCCCGTAATATTATGGCTTGCAAGCCAATGCCGGTCTCATAATACTACGCCAAAATTCTAGCAGCTTTAGATCTGGTGGGAGGAAGCTGGTAGGTCTACATGTGAGAGAATAGGCCTGTGTGCTCAGTGTTTGCAGTATGAAAAAAGTTTGAGGCTGCAGTGCATTGTGGGAACGCCAATTCAGTACGCCTTGTTCACCATGCCTAGCGGTAAGGAATACCTCACTCCCTGGTGAATTTGGGACTTTTCTCTTCCCAAGTGATAGTTCTAGCACAGATGGAAGTGTCAGTGAAAATGAATTTTATGGTTTTGAGGAATTTGTGACTGAAAGCAATGCCCAGGATACCAGATACTGATAGTGAAAAGGGAAGACAGCGTGGGTGATGGGGAAGATAGCATGGATGGTGGGGAAGATGGTGTGGGTGGGGAAGACGGCATGGTTGGTTGGGAAGATGGTGTGTAAGTAAGTTTATTCAGGTATACACGAATACAGTTACAGTGGGCCCCTGAGTTTCATGAGCCCTGCGCTTCATGAATTTTGCCTTTCGGCAATTTTTTTTGTCAAAATATAGCCTCACGTTTCATGATTTGCCTCAAAATTGGGAGATCAAACGGAATGCGTCGGAGCGGTCTCCCAGTGGGCCGTGTGTACACAAAGGCTTCCACACACCATTCAGTCAGTGTGGCATTGTTTCTGGGCAAGTGACCATCACCCCATGTGTTCATATGATACATTTCCTAAAAATTTCTTCTTTTTTGTGCTTGCAACTACTAATTAAGCCACCATGGGCCCAAAGAAAGATCCTAGTGCCAGCCCTTTGGAAAAGAAGGAGAGAAACACGATAGAATTAGAGAAAGAAAATTATCGCAAAAATGTGAAAGTGGAGTGCATGTGACCGTCTTGAGCAGGATGTACGGGAAGTCCCATTCAACAATCACTTCCATCGTGGTGAAGAAAAAGGAAATCAAGGAAGCTGTTGTTGTGAAAGGGGTAGATATACTCACAAAAAAGAGATCACAAATAATCAAAGATGTTGAGAATTTGTTGTTGGTGTGGATCAGCCAAAAACAGTTAGCAGGAGATAGTGTTATGTAGTTGATAATTTGTGAAAAGGCAAGGCAGTTGCATGCCGATCTCGTAAAGAAAATGCCTGGAACGAGTGCTGATGTTAGTGAATTTAAGGGCATGTTAGTGACTTAAGGGCAGCAAAGGCTGGTTTGAGAGATTTAAGAAGCGTAGTGGCATACAAAGTATGGTGAGGCTGCAAGTTTCTGACAGATGTGCGGCTGAAAAATTTGTGCATGAATTCAAGGTGTATGTAGAAGATGGAGTCCTCCCCCCAACAAGTGTTCAATTGTGATAAAGCAGGCCCCTTTTCGAAGAAAATGCGAAAGGGGACCTATATCACGCAGGATGAAAAGGTACTGCCAGGACACAAGCCTATGAAAGACAGGCTAACTCTCTTGTTTTGTGGTAATGCTAATAGGGATTTCAAAGTGAAGCCTTTACTCTGAAAATCCCATAGTGTTCATGAAAAACAGTGTTTCCTGGAGTAAATTGTGTGTGATATGGAAGGCTAACAGTAAGGCATGGATCACAAGGGAAATTTTCCTTGATTGGTTCAGTGAAGTGTTTGGCCTGAGTGTGAGGGAATACCTCCTGGAAAATAAATTGCCACTCAAGTGCCTCCTGGTAATGGACAGTGCTCCTGCTCATCCTCTAGACTTGGATGACCAAATGGCAGAGGAGTTAAGGTTCATCACAGTGAAGTTCTTGCCCCCTAATAAACCCCTCCTCTCATCCAGCCCATGGACCAGTAGATCATTTCAAACTTCAAAAAACTCTCCACCAAAGCAATGTTTCAAAGGTACTTTGATGTGACCTCAGACACTGAATTAACCCTAAGAGAGTTCTGGAGGAATCACTTCAATATCCTCAATTGCATAAGCCTTATAGATAAGGCTTGGGGGAGTGACTTTCAGGGCTTTGAACTCTGCTTGGAGAAAATTGTGGCCAGAATGTGTCGAAGAGAAAGATTTTGAAGTGTTTGAGGCTGACCCTGTTGACCCTACACCTGTTTGTGGAATCAGTTGTGGCATTGGGGAATTCCATGGGGTTGGATGTGAGTGACGAGGATGTGGAGGAGTTGGTGCAGGACCACAATGAAGAGCTAACCACTGAAGAGCTGCAACAGAGAAGCAACAGACCACAGCTGAGGAAATTGCTTCACAGGAAGAGGAAGAGAGATGGAAGAAGGTGCCTTCTTCAGAGATTAAGGAGATTTGTGTAATGTGGGGTAAAGGGTGCAAACATTTGTGGAGGAACATCACCATAACAAAGCTGTTGCAAGCCATGTGGGCAACATGTACAGTGACAGTGCCTTGTCCCATTTTAGGCAAATTTTAAAGACATCAGAATTGGAGCTCTCTGGAACAATTTTTTGAGCGACAGGGGTCCAGTGACTCTCAAGCTGGTCCTAGTGGCATTAAAAAAACAAAGAAGAGAAGTAACCCCAGATAAGGACTTGAGGTCTAGGTACCTAAAGTCTTTATGGAAGGGATTTCCCTTCCACAGTAGCATCACTTCTCCATCCTCTTCCCACCTCCCGACTTCCATACACCAACAAAAAGTCTTCATTAAAGGTAAGTGTGATATTATTGGTTTATACTTGATTTCTCATTCTTTTCTGTATGTAAATCTATATTTAATCTTTAAAAAAAATAATTTTTGTTTATACTTTTGGGTGTCTGGAATGGATTAATTTGTTTTACATTATTTCTTGTGGGGAAAATGGTTTTGAAATTTGTGAATTTAGACTTTCGGCAGACTCTGAAATGGATTAATCATGAAATTCGGGGGTCCACTGTACATAGATTATCATACATAGCAGCATGTGCAGAGAACCTAGGATAACCCAGAAAAGTCAGACACAGTGACTTATTTCCAGTGTGGGTGGTGGTGAAGACAGTGTGGGTGTGGGGAAGGCAGCGTGGGTGTGGGGAAGGTAGCATGGGTGTGGGGAAGGCAGCATGGGTGTGGGGAAGGCAGCATGGGTGTGGGAAAGACAGCATGGGTGTGGGGGAAGGCAGCGTGGGTGTGGGAAAGACAGCATGGGTGTGGGGAAGGCAGCGTGGGTGTGGGGAAGGTAGCATGGGTGTGGGGAAGGCAGCATGGGTGTGGGGAAGGCAGCATGGGTGTGGGAAAGACAGCATGGGTGTGGGGAAGGCAGCGTGGGTGTGGGAAAGACAGCATGGGTGTGGGGAAGGCAGCGTGGGTGTGGGGAAGGTAGCATGGGTGTGGGGAAGGCAGCATGGGTGTGGGGAAGGCAGCATGGGTGTGGGGAAAGACAGCATGGGTGTGGGGAAGGCAGCGTGGGTGTGGGAAAGACAGCATGGGTGTGGGGAAGGCAGCGTGGGTGTGGGAAAGACAGCATGGGTTGTGGGAAGGCAGCGTGCATTTGTGTGAACAAGCTCTGTAAACAATATATGTAATGATAACAATATTTGTGCAGTTGTGTTACATACAACGAGTGGATATGTATACATTATGCATTATATTGGTCTCACAGGCCAGAAAAGTTACTTGAAGAAAATAAAATATTAGAAAAGAAAAAAATACAATAAAAGTAAAAATAATATTAGAGTGGCAGTCGCCAATGTTGCCATAAGTGGTTCACTTTGTCAACTTCATGCCTCTATATCTCGGTAACTACTGATTGCAAAAAAAAAAAAAAAAAAAAAGTTCTTTATAAAACTCAGAAAATTATTCTTAAGATTTTGGTAAGAAAAAAAATTTTTTTTTTTTTTGAATATTTTTTGACACTGAGAGCAAGTTTGTGAGCAGGCACTCAACAGTGAAAGGGTTAGTGATTTTTTAGAATATTGTATTTATGAATGTACTTTATCTGTATTACAACAAATTATGCATTGATAAATTAGACACATGTGCAACTCTTGGGGATCTTTATTGAGGAAACGTTTCGCCACACAGTGGCTTCATCAATCCATACGTAGGAGAAACTTGAAGAACAGGAGGAGAATGAGGTAATCAGTCCCTCAACCTTGAGTCGATGTGTTCAGTCCATCATCTTGATAGAATACGGCATATCAGTGGAGAAGCAGCTTTTCCACTGGAACAAATACGAAGGTCGTTTATGCCCCACATAGAGCCAGTAAAGCATTTAAAATTACTGGGAATGCTTTGAGGTCTTTAATATGTACTGGAGTGGAGGAGAGATACATGATAATATATATACGTACTTGGAAAATACTCAAAGGCCTGGTCTCAAATCTGCACAACTGCCAAGAGAGCAAGAGAGACTGGAGGAAGTGCAAAATAGACCACAGTGAAAAGCAGGGGTGCAGTAGGCACAACAAGGGAAAACTATCAACATTTGTGGCCCCAAGATATTCTGTATCTTCCCAGGGGATATCAGAAACATTGGGGGAAACAATGAAAAAGTTTTATACAAGTCTAGCACGAGACAACCTGGCCCATGGCCAGGCTTGTCTCGGCTACCTCATAAAAGTAATCTAAGGTACCAGGTAAAGTGTATGGTAAGATGAAAAAGGAGGTTTTAAAAAGAGCGGGGGATGTATAACCCAAATGTTTGTATTGAAACATTCAAATGAATAATTTTAGAATAAAATCAAGGAAATTTTTGTTTCTTTACATGGATTTAGAAAAGGCTTCTGATAGTCTGCAAAAGTGGAACCAACCAGTTTTCTTTATTGAAAATTGGATGAGAAAAACTTTTTGAACATTTTTTAAAAAAAACTAGTTTTTTTCATTGAGAGGTTCTGCCGAAACAAAAAAACAAAAGGGGCATCAAAATCACAATTGAAAAATTTTTTCCCCCTGATCACAAAATTCTGGAAAAGGGAAAAAAGACTGCTCCAGGTTTTTTTAAAAAAAGGTTGCTCAGTCATGAAAACATTTTATTCAGGGATTTTTTTTGGCCTAAAAAGACTGACTGCTGACTTGCATGGGGTGATGGAAGCATCTGGGATAATAAGATGTAATCTTTGGGGTCCCTTTGAAACCTTTAAACAACAAAATAAAAGATTCACCATTTTTATTGCAAAATTATTAGCATTTTTTTTGGTTATACTTTTCCCCCAAACATTTACGTAGTGGTTTTATTTTGATTAGGGGTGGTGAGTTTTCCTGTGTTTGGGATAATTTAGTAAGGTTGTTTTAAAAAATTTTTTTACCAATGTTTTGCAGGTGATGGTAGTGGTTTTGAGGTGATGTTTGCCACATTTTTTATACATGTTAGGGCCCTTTAATTTTTTAAATACCAACTATCAACAACGCAGAAACCTTTGGGGTCAGTTTGGTCAGGAAATGGGGGTTGGGTTTGAAAAGGGGACTTGGGGGGGCCCCAGTAGGCCTGCGCCATTGCTGCTCGTTTTTAAACCCCTTTGAGGGTTTCGGACGTATATACGGCTTAGCCCTGGGTTTTTGACTACTAGTGTGCCAAAAATTTCTACCGCCCTAAAACCCTGTGGGAGAAAGTGGTAGGCCCCCATATAAAGAAGGGGTCAGTGGTCAGTGTGCACAGTATAAAAAATCCGCAGTACACAGTGTTTAAATAATGAGAAAAAAAAAACTTTGACGTTTTTTTTGGAATAAAACAGCGACTTGCCGTATTTTGTATGAATTTATTGTTGTATTCTAGTTTTCTTGGTCTCATTTTTTAAAAGGGAAAGGGCATATCATAGAAATTTAGATGATTTTGACTGGTTTTTTCAATGAAAAAGTCCCTTTAAAAAAAGTCAGGTACAAAAAAAGTTCGATTTTTTCCAAAAATTTAAAATAAACAAATCTGCCAAACGCCAAAACACAAAATGGTGGGTCTATATTCTTTTGCAAGTGTGCCAATTGATTCTACCTTTTTTCCTATGCGTAGTCTGATAACAGTAAACTTCTATTTTTTGTGAGAATAAAAATTAAAGTGGAAAGCAAAAGAAAGTTAAGGGGCCTTTAGAGTGACTAATGAACAGAGGAAATTCATTTTAGTGCCAGGAATGTATTTTTTTTTGTTCGGGAAACCCTATTCGGAAATTGCATCTTTTGAAATTTGTGTGAAATTGGCAAAAAATTTAAATTCTGACCACTTTAGGATATTGAAATTGGTAAATGGGGGGTTTTCTTGCACCCCAAAAATAGAAAAAAATGGAGTTCTAGCAAATATTCATTTTTTTTTTGTCGACGTACAGTGGAAGGGCCAAAAAATGGGGCCAGTGGGAAAATCGCCGACCCGTAAAAACGCGAGCCGCTAATTTGGGGGAGAAAATTCCGAAATTTTTCCTCAAATTCATATTTTTGGGTTGTTATGAGGGGAAAAAAGTTTGTCTATCTTTTTCATAAGAAAAAAATTTTTTTTTTTTTTTTTTAAAATTTTGGGCCCGACCCTGGAACGGTCTCGGAGAGGGCCTGCGACCCTAAAAGGGGTTTAAAGGGAAAAAATATATGAGTGAGGGGTTGAGTAGGAGAAGATCTTCCTAGATATGGCCGGGGAAATGAAACTAAATTTTTAAGGTGTGAAAAAACTATTTTTTTTGACAAGGCTTGAGCCTGGAGGTGGGAAGTACAATGCCTGCATTCTGGAGGGGTGGGGATATTTGCAGTTTTGAATTGTAGTATTGGTGCCCTTCTGACAAGATAATGATGGAGTGAGTGATGATGAAAGTTTTTCTTCTTTTTTTGGGGTCACCCTACCTTGGTGGCAGATGGCAGTTTGTTTAAAAAAAAAAGTTTGGCTTTTTTATATTTTAAATGTCAAAAATGTAACTTAGTTTTTTCCATTTGTTATTCACATATTTTGATTTCGTATGAGTCACTGATTTTTTTTGAACATAACGCACTTGATATTTTGGAATCTCCTGTATGATGTGCAGATAGTACCATATGTATAGTGTTGTTTTTACAAGATGTTATAGCTTAATTTTTTTAATGTTCTGTAGTTTCATCCACATCACTGTATATAGATAAAGGGTTTAATGTTCAAATTTTGTTTTCTATTCTCAGTTTGGTAGCCTTACAAGTAGTCCTGAGAAGGAGCCAGAAGATAGTCTGGACAGAGGGGAGTGCCGTGGAGGGCCTGGGTCCCCGCGCTAAGTCTTGCCTTCTCTGGGATAGGTGCGTCAGTCCTGGCCCCTGCTAATCCTCTCGTTTCCCTGGAGCCACCAAGCCACAAGTCACAGCACCTTTTGCATTCACCACCAGCAAAGAGACGCAAACCTCTCCATTCACCACTTGGAGGGCCCCCTATACCAACACCACCAATACAAACAATTGAATTCTATTTCACAAGCACCGCCTGTTACCTCCACTGCCTCACTTGACGACGATAAATCTGGTAGAGTAATCAACTTAACTATGGGTGCCAGCAACTCTGGCAGTGGAGGTTCACCATCCCCAAGGCTAATACCAAGACTGAGTTAAATATATCTGAGGAGGATGGGCCTGGTAGAGGCAGCAGTGGTTGTAAAGGGGAGGGCAGTATGACCATGAGGTCGAGGAGCCACACGAAGAGGACTCTGTAGACCATGACATGTCCAATACCGCGGCTCCAGACCTACATGGGCTGCCTCAACACCTCTCAGCAGCAGTACAAAACTTTGTGCCATATGCAGCAGCAGCAGCCGCAGCAGCAGCAGGATCCTCGCAGCTGGAGACCTTCCCGGGGCCATCAGGTGAGTACACACACACATGCTTTTACCATCACTCAAAGTAATGCACTAGCAGTAGTTTATATTTTTTGTGCCAAATTTATATGAAGATACACAGTAAGTCTTTGATTTGACACTCTAATATGGGGGAACTGGCGGATGGTAATGGCAGTCATGGTGGATAGAGATGAGATTGTTTTGTCGTGCTTGTTATTTTGTAACTAACAGATTTTTTCCTGTTAAATTGAAGGTTTACTGTGACTAAAACTCATTTAATGGGATGGATGGGATGTGATATTGTACTCACATGCCACTCTTGTGGGTTTTGAAGTGTTTTTGTTACCTTGGGTGATGGTATATTTTTGTATTATTAATGTACTGATCAGCACTGCTAACACAGCATGCTTTCCTGAATAATTTCTATTTTAACTTGTATGCAAATGTATATACTGCTGATGAAATTTTAAATTCTGGTGTGTGGTAAGTTCTTGTGAAGGAAAGAGTAAAATTTTAGAGGAACTCCTTTAGGTCTTCAGTGGTCTTGTCATTCTTCATAAGTACAGTAGAACCCCCTTATCCACTGATTGGGTATACATAGTTTGTATCCATGGTTACTGTGGCCCAAAATTGCCTCTTAATTTTGCATAGTAATGGCTCCAAAACGTAAAAAATAGAGAAGCTGGCATTTCTTCAAAGCCCAAGAGAAGCCATGAAGTGCTTCTCATCAATGAAATAAGGAAAATTCTCCACTTATTGTATATAATTTATCAGTTAAACTTTAGGTATGTATAAGGACTTATATATAGGGTTTGCTACTATCCACGGTTTTGGTACCCACAGCAGGTCCTTTGAGCATATCCCCCATGGATACGCGGGTCCTGCCGTATTATAAAAGTTAACGTGTAACTGTATATTCATTTGCAACATTAACCTTGAAAGGAAGTGTGGATTTTTTCTTTAACACATTGGCTGTTTCCCAAAAGGCAGGGTGACTCGAAAAAGAAGAAATGCTTTCATTATCATGCTCTCCATCACTGTCTTGCCAGAGGTGTGCTTATACTACAGTTCAAAAACTGTAACATATCTCCACCCTTCCTTCAGAGTGCAGGCACTGTACTTCCATCTCAAGGACTCAAGTTGGCTAACTGGTTTCCCTGAATCCTTTCATTAAATGTTACTTTACTCAAACTCCAACAGTACATCAAGTCACAAGAACCATTTGCTTCCACTTGCTCATGCCTAACACGCTCATGCACACTTGCTGGAGGTCTAAGCCCTTTGCACATGGATTTATGGCATTACAGAGTTCTTGGTTAACCTTTTCGTTGTCAGTGCTGTAAATATTATGGCTTTGAAGTCAGTGTCGGTCCCGTAATACTATGCCAAAATTCTAGTGGCTTCATATCTTCTGGGAGAAATTTGGTAGGCTTTCATATGAGAGAATGGGTCTGTGTGGTTAGTGTGTGCAGTATAAAAAAAAATCCCGCAGTATAAAAAAAATCCAATCCTGCAGCAAGCAGTGCATAATGAGAAAAAAAACTGCGATCGTGTTTTTGGTTTAAAATGGCGATTTTGCGGTGTATTTTTGTGTGGTATTTATATTTGTATTCTCGTTTTCTTGGTCTCATTTGATAGAATAGAAGATGTTAGAAAAATAAAATGTGGTTTAGAATGGTTTATCGAATGAAAGTAGCTTGAAATTGAGTTCAAATTAGTGGAAATGTTTGATTTTTGACACTGTTCAAGAATAAAAAAAATCTCATCACTCGTCCAATACACATCAACTGGTGGGTCTAATACATTTACAAATGTGCTGATATTATTTATACAGTTACTAGATTACTATTACCCAAAC